ATAACTGAAGAAGAAAGTTCTCAGAGTCCTTAAGCAACAAAATCAAAGAACTGAAATGGCAAAGAGGATGCCTGGAAAACCGTCTAGCCAGTCTTTCTCAGAGTGACCCCCCCAGAACAGTGCCTCCTAAAGAATACAGAAACAAAGTGATGTTTGATATCAGGATTTAAAAGGTTGGAAGACCACCCATCATTTGTTGAACCTCTTAGAGCTTCAACATGTATACAAAGACATTCTGTATCTAAAACTTGCTAGAGAACCTCCTTAATCCTATGGTCCAGTGTGTGGCCAAACTCACCACCCAACCCTTTCTTTTTAATTATAAGGAATATATCCTTATAATAGTATACATTTATAAGCCAGGCACAGTGGGAGAATTTAAGAAATAAGACAGGAAGATCGCGAGTTCAACGACTTCCTCGACCACAGACGGAGTTCGAGGCTAGCCTAGGCCACATGAGACCATGTCTCAAAAAATAAAAATAAAAAAATAAACCCCAGAGTGGTGGCATAAGCCTTTACTCCCAGAAGTAGGGAGGCAGAGACAGGAAGATCTCTGAGTTTGAGGCCAGCCTGGTTTGCATAGTGAGTTCCAGGGGTACAGGATGAGAACCTGTCTCAAAAGGGGGGGGGAGGGAGTCATACACTTACGTTTATATAATTGTTATAACAATAGCCATATTGTATTTTCTGCTCCATGCAATAAACGTCTCATTGTTTCATTTGCTCTTCAAAAACAACCTTAATGTTATATAGCCTTATTGTATTTGTAAATGTTGCAGTTTTCATCTGGAAGTTTTCCCCAAGGCTTACACACTGAAGGTGTAGTCCCCAGCTGGCGGGATTACTGGCAGGTTATGAGAACTTCAGTGAACTCTAGCTGAAGGAAGTAGGCCACTGGAGATGGGATGTAGGTGTCTGGCACTCTCACTTTTCCTTGCCCTCCTCCCTCCCTCCTTCTGGCTGCCATAAAGTGGTCAGTTTTGCTCTTGCTTTCTGCCTCACCACAAGCCCAGAATCAAAAGCCAAGAGAGCAGGGGCTGAAACCTCTAAAACTATGGACCAAAATAAGTCTATTTTTTTTAAAGATTTATTTATTTATTTTCTGTATATGAACGCTCTGTTTTCATGCACACCAGAAGAAGAAATCAGATTCCATTGCAGATGGTTGTGAGCCACGATGTGGTTTCTGGGAATTGAACTCAGGACCTCTAGAAGAGCAGTCAGTGCTCTTAACCGCTGAGCCATCTCTACAGCCCCCTGTCTTTCTATTTTTGAGACTATTTCATTTTTCTTTTGATATGGTGTTCTACTTTGTAGCCCAGGATGGCCTTAAACTTCAGGCCCTCCTGCCTCATCCTGGAAAGGCAGCATAGGCACATGCCGTCATTCCTTGACTTCCTTAAACAACAGAAAGCTGACTGATACACACACACACACACACACACACACACACACACACACACACATTTTTAATTTAACAGATGAGAAAATGAGACTTAGCCAGGCACTTGTAGCACGCACCTTTGATCACAGCACTCAGGAAGGAGAGCCAGGTGGGTCTTTCAGTTCAAGGCCAGCCTGGTCCACAGAGTGAGTTCTTGGATAGTTAATCTACACAAAGAAACTGTCTCGGGAAACAAAGAAAAAAAGGCTTAGACTACATTCTCCAAAGTAATAGAGACAGTAAGTCATGCTAGGGCTCAAGACATAGCACCCCAAAGTATGACGGTAGGGAGACCACAGTATGCTGCTCCAGATATGCCCATTTGGCATAAGTATTGTTTGGGGAAGCAGCAGGCAGCTCTACAAAAAAGAGCAGAAGTTCCCATCACAAGAGAAGTCCATAGACCAGGACATAGAGGAAGTCTCCATGGGTGACAGTTCACCTTTGGACCAGGAAGAACGTTCAACAGAATCTCAACAATAAAGAACACTCAGCTCAGATCCACCCAGCAAACGCTGCTCCTGTCTCTTAACTATCTCCCCATAACCAGCTTTTTCCTAGACCCTTCCTTCTGCTCCAGCAGACAAAGGTGTTCAGCCTTGAAGTTTACTCTATGCCTTTAATAATTACTGGGTGATTTTACTCCTTGCAGCTTCCTTGAGTGGCTTTCCATGCATGCAGGAGGGTTATGTGTTGACTAGCTTGTTTGGTTTTCTCTTGTTGATCAGTCTTTTATAACAGGAACTGTGGAGGAAAAACAGAAATTCTTATATCCTCCTCTACAAAGGGGCAACCCATGGTTTGAATACAGGTTCCTATGACCAGCTTCTGATCTAGCCAAATCTTCTCCCATAATAAATGGAATAAGGCCACAATACCTTGTCTCCCCACTCCCCCCCAAAAAAAGCATGCAGTCTCAAATATTTAAATATTCTCAAAGTAAGAAACTTGCTGTTTCTCAAAATAGCACATTTCATTATTAAATATCTTTAAATATTTAGAAAGTTCTTCATATTTAATTGAAATCTGCCTTTGTGTACCTTCTATTCATTACCCCTGGGTTTCAGCTCAGAGATGTTATACATTAAGCCTAATTTATTTCTATAGGGTCATAATTCAAATATTTGTAGACAATTACTTTGTCTGCTTTCAAACAGATAACCAAACTATAATTAGTGTTTTAGAAACCAGGCTGTAGTCAGTGCATAAACTAAAGCTTGATCCAGCTCCTCAAAAGATTTTTTTCTAATCATACCGTCATACAAGTTTTCTTAATTTCCGCAATGACAGAAGATTTGTTTTGCCTTTAATTTTAGATTTTTTTTTTTAATCATGTAATGGAGGGAGGGAATTCAAAGCTTGGGATTTGAAAATAGACGTGATACGTGTGCTCAGATGGTTGTATTCCTGACTTCTCTGTCGCCATGATAAAACACCATGTCAAGGCTTATGGAAAAAAGACTTTATTTGGGTTTACGTTTCCAGAGGAATAAAAGTCTAACCTTTTTTTTTTTTGGGGGGGGGCAGGTAATATTGCTTTAAAGATTTATGCATTTGCATTTTATGTCTATGAGTGTTTTGCCTAGCTGTATATGTGTGCCACAAGCATGCCTGGTGCCCACAGAAGCCAGAAGAGGGCGTCAGAGCCCCTGGAACTGGAGTTATGGATGGTTTTGAAGCAAGAACAGCAAGCGGTCCTCACTGCTGAGCCATCTCTCTAGACCCACGAGTCTGTCATCGTGAGGACAGTGTGTCAGTGGGCAGCAGGAGCAGGAGACGGAGAGGTCATAGCTTTAGCAGCAAGCTGGAAAAATAGTGTGGTTCTGAACTCCAAAGGCCCTAGCAAAGTGTTTCCTCCAGGAAGGTTGTCCTCACCTCCTCCAACAGCCCCACCAACTAGGGACAAAGTGCGCCTGCGCCTATAGGAGACATTTCTCATTTGAACTACCACAAGTGGATGGAGGGGGGAGTGTGTGTGTGTGCACGCACTTGGTGCTTTGCAATTTTTGAAAGCACCAGAAGAAGTCTTAGGACAGATAAGAAAATTAACTTGTCGTGGTCACTGGTGTGTTAAGGAACTCTGTTCTCCAGAAGTGGCATGAACAGAGCTTGAAATCACTGAAGTTCTAAATGCCTGCAGGAGAACCTCACAAGATTCAGCCCATTAATGTTCCCCTGTGGTGTGGTGGCAGTAAGGAGCTCACTTGGCAGCTCAGGAGGCATGTCAGGAGGTAATGGATCCTGAGGGGAGGAATTTTCTGTGATGATGAAGTCACCTGTACGTTGCCCCAGCCGCCTATAGGTGACCCTTTACCCAGTGTTTTAGTTCCTTTTCTGTCGCTGTGATGAAGCACTGACCAAAAGCAACTTTGGAGAGGAAAGGGCTTACTTCACTTCACAGGTTGCTGTGGCCAGGCTTTTGGCTGCTTTATTAGGTTCTGTTTCCTACCTCCACATCACCCATATCCCTTCCGACCCCCTAAAACTTAGCTAAGGGAGAAAGAAGGTTTGAGGGGGAAAGGAGTGTTGGTATCATAGACTACTTCCTGCTGGTTAGGGCTGTCCAGTTTCTTGGGGCGAGTTCGAACTTCATTGTCAGGATATTTCCAACCAGCAACCTAACGAAGAGCAGACAGCAACAACAGGGAGCAGCCGCCACCACAGGCTCCCTCGAGTCTCACGTTTATACCCTCTCAAGAGTCCCAGAACTGCAAAGTGAACTACCAGCAGCTGACAGAATCACACCCCTGCCAGAGCATGAGGCAGATTAGAGTCAGCTGCTGTGCACAGTCTGAAGCAGCCCGGCATCCCACGCGGGGATTAGAACAGAACCATTCCTGTAACACACCTGTGTTTTTAAAGAAAAGAAAAATTCTCACCACAGGTTGCAACTCTGTCACTGGGGGAAGCCAAGGCAGGAATTTGAGTTCCCTGAGGCAGGAACTCATGAAAGCAGTTTCAAGCAGAGATTAACAGTGTAGTGCCGCTTACTGGCTTGCTCTCGCCTGCCTAAGAACGGCTCTACCCACAATGAGCTGGCCCTTCCCGAAACTGTTAGCAATGAAGGAAATGCCTTCACAGACATTGTCCCAGGCCAGTCTTGCTGCAGGCAGTTCCTCAACTGAGTTTCTCTCACCCCAGGTCCATCACGTTGACAACCAAAACTAACCGTCATAGACGCGCTCCTATAACTAACCCCAATTAAACCAACTGGTCACCAGTAGACTTGGTGGGATCTCTGCTTTGTCATTGGTATCCTGTCTAGGGTGAATAAATATTATTTCTGTCCTCTCAGAACAAGTTAACATATTTAGCACCCAAGCAGGGGCTGCCTTAGTTAGGGCTTCCATTACTGTAAAAAGACACCATGCCTACAACAAACCTTATAAAGGAAACATTTCTTTGGGGCTGGCTAACAGTTTCAGAGGTTTAGTCCATTATCATAATGACAGGAAGCATAACAGTATTACAGGCTGATATTATGCTAGAGACGGAGCCAAGAGTTCTGTATCTCTCCCGGTGGCGGACCGGTGGTTTATCCCATGCGGGCGAAATGGAGCTCGAGACCATGAGTTATTATACCAGCCTGGTAAACCCGGTTGTCTTCCTTCACCTGACGGTGGCACTTCTGGCCATTGGCATGTTCTTTGCCGCCTGGTTCTTCGTTTATGAGGTCACCTCCACCAAGTACACACGTGACCTTTACAAAGAGCTCCTCATCTCCTTGGTAGCCTCACTCTTCGTGGGCTTTGGAGTCCTCTTCCTACTGCTCTGGGTTGGCATATATGTGAGTCTCCAAGGGTACCCACCAGGCAACTCACCAAGTCCTTGCTTTTGTAAATTAATTTTTCACCATTGCTACAAGTGCCCCACCTGCTGTTTACAGTAAAGGCAGATGACAGTACCAGGGTACCCTTGGGAAAAAAAAAAAAGAGTTCTATATCTTGATCTGAAGGCAGCAAGGAGGAGACTGTATATCACTGAGCAAACCTTGGGCATATATGACCTCAAATCCCACCTCCACAGTGACACACTCCCTCCAACAAGGCCAAACTTCTAATAGTGCCCCTCCCTATGGCCAAGCCTTCAAACACAGGAGTCTACGGGGTCCATTTCTATCAAACCACTACAGGCACCAACTGAACCAAAGTTGAGTCTGTGAGGAAAGTTTACGTGTGTGGGTGGTAAGGCATAAACTAGGATATGCTGTCTGTGGAGGCAGCGGTGGTTTGACCACCCTTCCCGGGGTAGTATGGAATGCCATGGCCTCTTGCGGCAGTAGCAATCATACTGTGTCTGATACGGAAGAAAAGATTTGCATCTAAGGCTGAAGGAATTCCGTGGAGGGGGGGTGTCTTTCAGGATGGCTGGTATAGAATGGCAAGCCTCCTGATGAGTGGGGTCTACTGTGAGAGTATGATACCCCTTTCCCAAGTAGCTGACAGACCAGGAATATGTTCAAACCCCCAGAAGTAGCATGTATGGGAGGAGACCACAAGCTGTCTGAGGGATCTGCTCATGGACCTTGCTCTGGAGATAGGACATGTAACTGAAGGCAAGCTCTCTGCCCGGACCAAAAAAAAAATCTGTCCACATGAAGAATTACAAAAAGAAAAACATGCAGATGCAACGAGAGTTGGGAAGACTAACAGGAAGAGAGTTCAAAAGAGTCTGTTTTAAATGGCAGCGGCAGGCAGGATCAGTCTGGGTGTCGTATAAATGGGGAGAGCTGAGAAATGTAACTGTTCCTTGAGGCAAAAGCTGCACCGTGTATGCATATGTGCAAATAGTAGCCGTAGGAATACGTGGTTATTGAAAGCCAAGGCTCCCCATTAGACTCAGGAACCAGAGGACAAATAAAGAATGACAGCCATTACTGAGGGAATTGGAACAGGCAGTGTGTCATGCCCAGTTCACTGGGTCAAACAGTACTGTGTTCCCAGAGAGTCAGGAAAAAAAAAAAAAACTCGTTAGGAGCCTCAGGTCTGCTGTGGATCTAGAGTGGCTTTGCAGAGGCCCATGGTAGGACGCGACTTTTACAAGATAGAAGAGGTTCTAGCAGATCTGAATGATTTAGACTGGAATGTAAATTAGACCCATAGAATGCTAAAGCAATGAAGAGCAGATGAGGAAGAGAAAAAAACAGACAGAGGAAGCTTTCTGCATCACTCGAAAGCAAACTTGGTGGAGATTTGTTTTGAACTGGAGTTCCTAGGGAAGAAATTGACAGAAAGCTAAAATTAGTGCTTATTCCCTAAAGGCCTTTAATCCTGAACAGTAGTTCATAGAAAGATAAGTGATAAAAATTGGCACAGATGAAAAGATGAAGCCTCCTTGGGACTAGACAGTGTCAGTGTCACCACAGTGCAACCACGCAACCGTGAGCCTTGTCCCTGTGGGCCCTGAGCTGTGCCCATGGAGGCTGCCCCACCAAGCCTGTTTGGTGCGGGGAGAAATGTGGCAGTCCCATATCGGTATCCTGGATGGAAAGGTGGGCCAGCTCATGGAGAATGCCTATGAACTGTGGGGGACTGGTTAAAGCAGTACCACCCATCCATGGAGCTATACTCACCAGTGATCATTTGATGGGAAAAAAAAAAGATACAAACAATTTTCCTTGTGGTATTGGACCTTGTTCAGTTAAAAAAAAAAAAAAAAAGGGTCTCATGTAGCCATACTAACCTCAAACACACTATGTGGTGAAGAATTACTTTGAACTTCCAATAATCTTGCCTCCATCTCCCAAGTATTTAGATTACAGTTGAACACTATCATGTCCATTTGGCTTTCTGTGGTGCTGGGTGTTGGATCCAGGACCAGACAATAGGGTAGACGTGGTGGTAGCAGCTGAACTACATCTCCAGTCTTTATTCCTCTTCAGTATACTTTTGGCTGATGATTTGTTGTTTCTTTGTTTCATTTTTTGTTGTTTGTTTTATTTATTTATTTATTTATTTATTTTTGAGACAGGGTTTCCCTATGTAACCCTGGATGGAACTCATGATGTAGACCAGCCTGGCCTCTAACTTACTGCCTGCCTCTGCCTCAGGAGTACTGCAATGAAAGGCCTGTGTCGCTATGCCTGAACGAAGCTGATTTCTTCTAAGATCAGTTGGCACTTGCTTAGAATGGACAGCTGTGGGCCTTCCGGGATTCTGCTGAGTATCTGTAGAAAGGTATAATTACAAAGATGATGCAGTGACAGCATCGAAGAACTGTTTCACAGATTGACAGAGCGTCTGAAAGAGTGAAAATGCATCTCAAGGAGTGGAGATGGGAAATCAGCTCAGAGAAGGTGCAAGGGCCCAGCACAGCTGTGACATTCTTGGGAGCCTTAGTTGGGTAAGGTGCACATGGCACCCAACAAGGTAAATGAGAAAAATCCCATGATGGCCTATGCCAGTAAACACTGTTACAATCGTTAAAGAATTTGAATACAGGTACTTTGTATGAGTAGAGAAAAAACACTTCCAAAACCATAGAATACCAAGAGAGAAGGGAGGTTGAGCTACCTCCCTTTTGAGCTGCTGGCCAGGAAGGTGCTTGAAGCTCCGAGAATAGTACAGACTCTTGCCACTGCTGTCTGTTGCCCTCTTGAACTGATGAGCCTGTTGCTGAAGTCAGCATGTGTTTTGATTTCAGGAGGTGGAGAAATCAGGCCAGAACTGCTTAATGATTGCTTTGTTTATTTTGTAGGTTTGGGGCCGGTGAAGAAGGCTCACCTGTTAGGAGTGCTTGCTGCTTTTGCAGAGGACTGAGATTTGATTCCCCAACACCCACCTGGTAGCTCCCAACTATCTGTAATTCTAGTTCCAAGGTGGCGGCGGAAGGGGGAGGGGGATCTGAGGCACTTTTCTGACTTCTGTGGGCACCAAGCACGCAGTGGTACACATCCATATATGCAGGCAAACGCCCAGATACACAAAATAAAAATAAATTTGTTATTTATATGTGAGATGGGTCTGGTAACCCACACCTTTAATCCCAGCACTCGTGAGGCAGAGGCAGATGGAACTCTTATGAGTTCAAGGCCAGCCTGGTCTACATAGAAAATTCCAGGACATCTAAAAATAATAACCAAAAAAAAAAAAACCTAAACTTAAAAAGAACAATTAAACTAGATCTAGTGATTTATAGGAGTGGGCAGGGGTGGGTGGGACAAAAATAAAAATTGTGGACCAAAATAATGGTATAATTGTGTAACAGGAACAAGTGTTTCAATGTCTAAACATCCCAGCAGTCCCTTGGGGGTGACTTCTTCCTTTGCTACTTCCTTTCCAGTTTTTATTTGCTTGGTTGGTTGTTTGGTTGTTTGGTTGGGTATCTGGTTGGTTTTGTTTTGCTTTTAAAATAATAGGGTCATGAAAAAATGATTCTGCAGAACAAAAGGAAGGAACGGAGGCTTGAGCAGTGTGGACGCTCCTTCTGTTAAAAGAACCACATAAGAAGCCAGACTAGCATTCTTAATGGAAGGTAAGTTATTCTAATTAATAAGGAAACAGAAGGAGAAATGGAGGAACAGGGGCTGGAAGTTAAAAAACAAAACAAAACAAAACAAAAGCCTTTAATCCCTGCGTTTGGGAGTCGGGAGGCAGAGGCAGGTGGATCTTTGAAGGCCAACCTTGTCTACTTAGCGAGTTCCGGTGTGAGAGAATTTGGTAAGACGCTCATTGGCAGTTTCGGATGTGAGCAGAGAGAAGCAAAGGTGCACATGAGTGTGTGTGTGTGTGTGTGTGTGTGTGTGTGTGTGTGTGTGTGTGTG